TAAATCGTGCTCAGCTGCCACGAAAACCATTAAAAATTTCGTATGACTTCATGCTCAAAGGAGTGCTACTCTTTTCTTAGGGTCCCAGGACAATTCAGCTACTTATAAAAATTTATTCAGTGCGAAAACAAGAACATTATTAAACAAATGACTGAGTGGATCTATTTACAAGACATCGTTGAAGTATGTACACGTAAGCTGCTGGGCAGAAACCTGAAAACATGGAGTGAATGAGCATTCGAAGCGAAGACACTGAGAAAAAGCCATTATCTCGTAATCGCTGAAGGACTGGAGCATCTCAGACGCGCACAGCTGCGTCGCGGTTACGGGGCATATCCTCATGACCTTCCACTCACTACTCTTATGTTTGCCGGCGTCCCTTATCTCTCTGCCTCTAGCCACTTTGCATCTCTGTTCCCTATTTCTCCAGTATGTGCTGTTGGATAGCAGGAACTACTCTGCGCAGCACTATAGTTTCTGAGAATTTTCGTTAGAACGGTAGCGATGCAGAGCAGTTGGAGAAAGGATGATAAAGAACATCCACAGAGAAGGCGTAGGATTGCTGGGGACCCTTTCCCTTGAGTTTAGGGATAGTAAACCTATAGCAAAGACCTTTCCTCATAAATCGCTGACTACCTTCCCAAAATCAACACAAGCCAGTCAATGATGCACGTTTGTATGTGTTGCTCCGCCCCCTACTGTACAACCCCACCCTACTTCCTAACGCTTACCTCATCGCCTTTTCCTTCCTGAGCATCCTCGAGTGGCACACGTTATCCATATATGCGATTCCGGCGTACCGACGTACGTATTTCCCCAGTCGTCCTGACTGTAAATGGGGAAAAAAGATTATTCAAGACAATGAAAGAAGTATCCCTGTGGCGAGACTAAACCACGTGTGAGGTAGCCTTGTCCCCACCCCTCCCATCTACGTTTACCCCTATGGAGGTCCCCATTCGGCAGTTATCTGCTATGGGAAAAATCAAGTTTCCCCCTAGAACCTTCAAAAATGTGTTGGCTATGGTTTCTTGATATTAAATTTTCTATGGTTTGAAATGAGCCGGTTGAGAACCATAAAACCTAAGGGCGAAAAGTTCACTTAATTCATCCTCCCTCTTGTCACCGCATTACTCAGTGCCGTTTCACTTCAAAGAGGAAAATTATTGAAGAGTATTGCGTCGTGATTGCCCGGGGGGGAACTATTGGGATCAATCACTCCTAAAAAGTGCAGCAAAACTCACCCGAACTGAGGGAATGGGAGACTGGTACATAAAGCGATCACCAATAGTAGGATGAAGAGAACGCGCATATCTGAAAGGAGTAGGTGATTAACTCGAAGTATTTTCTTCAGAAACATACATACGCCCCCTATTCCTGAGCTGAAGTGGGCGTGGCTGCGGACTTCATTTAATTTGGCGTCGGCTAGCGCTTCAGGTTCAATACTGCTGTTTGGGATAATTGCAGTCATGTCTTTGTCCAGCACAATGGGATGATAGTTGCCTCAGATTCAACAGTCCTAGGAAAAACACATGCTCAACCCGCGTTCGAATGAACGGCGCAGCCACGCCTACTCCAGCTCTGGGAGATCGATCCACGATTTGAGTACATACAGCTCGATGTAATGGAGAGAACAAAAATCTCTATGAATTCTATTTTCAAGGATCACTAAGGATAATGAACCAATTTTAAGGGGTGGTTCAGAAATCCGAAGCGCGGCACTGCGCTCAAGCCACCATTGGTAGCTAGTTGACTCGAAACAACATTTTGTCATCATTCAGGTGTGTCATGGCAAGCTATCCTGAGAGAAGGTAGCCAAATAAACGATATAAGACAATGTCAGCGGCAATGACAATGCTGATTCAATGCAAAAGTGTTGTGATGAGTCAACTAGCAAGGAATAATAGCTGGTGCAGCTCCTCGGATGTCTTGAATTACACCCTATTCAGAGAAAAGCAGCTGAGCACCTTTATCTTTCCGCCCTTAAATAGCGCCGACTTGTTATGACGGCAAAGACCCATCATCATGCTTTAGTATGTGAAAATAGAAAAGGCGATTTATGTGACTTTTTAAAGTTGTTTACATGACGTCAGTGACCTCGTACTGCAGTCACGAGTTTGGTCTCACTTCTCGCCTTTGTTACAACGCTCCACGCCCAGTAGTAACAATAATAATGACACTAT